AATTGGTCTCCACCATCGACAGGGACCCATGGGGGCGCCCGTATCACATCGTGATGAGGCGTTTGCGCAATTGGGCGCCCCCTCCAAAGGCGTCCCTGGTCCCCGACTTCCTCGACGAAGTGGTGGGGGCCCTCTTTCCATCGGGGGAAGCTTGCATTCCCCCCTATGAGGGCCTACCATCGGACGGGGAGGAGGAGTCGGTCGGGGTCACCGAGGTGGAGATAGACAGGGCCGTCAGGAGGCTCGGCGCCAAGAAAAGGGCGCCGGGCCCCGATGGCATCTCAAGCACAGTGTGGGCCTTGGCGATGAGGGAGGTGGAGGTGAAGAGTCGCACAATGCGGCTTTTCACCTCCTGTTTGAGGACCGGGGTGTTCCCCAGCCCCTGGAAGAGGGCCAATCTGGTCCTCTTCCGAAAAGGGGGCAAGCCGAAAGACAGCCCTTCCGCATATAGGCCGATATGCCTACTGGACGAGGCAGGCAAACCATTCCAAATAATAATACACACCTGCCTCGTCCAGCACCTATCCCGGAGTAGTCCAACGCTCAGCGAGGAGCAATACGGCTTCCGGGAGGGACAGTCAAGCGTGGACGCTATCTTACGCGTCCGGTCCCTCTCGGAGGCCGTCGTGAGGAGGGGGGGAGTTGTGTTGGCGGTGTCCCTGGACATCGCAATTATCCATTATATTTTAATCCTCACATATTCACATGATGTACCCAAATAATAAGCACTCTTATACCACGCCATCACTAGCCTTACATTATATGGCCTTACGTTATTATATTACATATAAAAATCTGGTGGCGACGACTTAATAATTATAAAACATCGATTCACTCTCAGCATTATTATATCATACTGTATCTTCAACTCCCTCCCTTGGGACCAGGTGGAGGCAAGTCTGGCCCATTTAAGGGTCCCCCCCACCTGGTCTCAATTATTAGGGACTACTTCCGGGGTAGAAGACTGGAGTTCTGCAATAAAGCGGAACTCCAGTGCGGAAGGGTGGTCTACCGCGGTGTTCCCCAGGGGTCCGTACTAGGACCCCTATTATGGAACATCGCGTACGACCAAGTCCTCCGCCTTGCCCTCCCCCCCGGCTGCAGCGTCGTCTGCTACGCAGACGACACGATGGTGCTGGCCGGGGGCAGGGGCTGGCGGAGCGTCCTGGAGAAGGGACGACGGGCGGTAGACCAGGTGGTAGGCTCCCTGAATAGGATGGGCCTCAAGGTGGCTCCCCTCAAGACTGAACTTATGTTCATTCACGATAGAATGAGGAGGAGGGGACCACCTGAGGCCCGAGTCCGGATCGACGGTGTCTCCGTGAAGACGGGTCCCACAATCAAATATTTGGGACTCGTCTTGGATGGTAAATGGGGGTTCCAGAAGCACTTTGAGCTTCTGGCCCCCAAGTTGGGCAGGGTGGCCAATATGTTAGGTGGCCTCCTGCCCAATCTCGGCGGCCCTAAAAGGAAGGAAAGGCGGCTGTATGCTGGCGCCGTCCATGGCCCTATATGGGGCCCCGGTCTGGGCGAGTGCGTTGGCGACCAACCAGCGCGTAATTGCGCTGGCTCACCGCGCTCAGCGGTGGGTCGCCATTCGCCTCGACCGGGCCTATAGGACGACGTCGCATATGGCCGCCACGGCCCTGGCCGGTCTCCCCCTGCTGGAACTCCTTGCACAAATGCACGCCGAAACCTATCGGCGTGTCAAGGAGCTCCGTGCCGGGGGAGACCTCGAACACCTGGCCAGGGCCAATGGAATAGCAAAAATGCAGGGCCGTCAACGCCTCCTCCTAAGGTGGAGCATCCACCTGTAGGAGGCGACGGGCCACTCGGGAATGAGGGTCGCCGAGGCCATCCGGCCCTGTCTACAAGAATGGGTAGACAGGGTCCGCGGAGAGCTGTCTTTCCGGACGACGCAGGTACTCACCGGACATGGATGCTTCGGTGAGTACCTGCACAGGATAGGTAGGGAGCCTAGCTCCCGCTGCCACCACTATGGCGCTGAGGTGGACTCGGCGCAACACACCCTGGAGGAATGCCCCACCTGGGATGTGGAGCGCCGAGTCCTGATCGACGTGGTGGGAGCGGACCTCTCACCCCGGCCCTCATAAGGGCCATGCTTGGGGGAGACAAGGGCTGGTCTACCGTCACCTCCTTCTGTGACACAGTCGTGTCGCAGAAGGAGGAGGCGGAAAGGGTGCGGCGGGGGGAAACCGCCGCACCCGGGGATGGGGCGAGGCGCCGCAGAAGGAGAGCGGCGACTCGCCTGCCTCCGCATCAGCGCGGGGTCGAAGGGCGGCGCACTCGCGGGCGGGGAGGGGACGCCACCGCTGGCGTTCCCTCTCCCGGGGTACCTGCGCGTGCGC